AGTAGCAAGGTATCATTCTTACAATTAAATTCAAGATAACGAGTCGCTTAGGCTGATTTAAGGATTGCTACTTTAGCTTTACACAGAATTAGATGTGCAAGCCTCACGATTCCATTGAATTTCATTCACCTTCGTCTACCAAAAGCCTGATTCTCATTGGTCCCACACAAGGATTGGAATTCAGGGGTTGGATTATATCATTTCGACATTTTACCAACCTTTGGAGACGCCGATGAGACCCAGGCGAGGTCGAATCTGCATTCCAGCCTGGATGAGTCTGCCTGATTAAAAGCGAGGATAACTAAAATGCAAGATCTCGTAAGACCCAGTCATATCATTGTGGGAAAAGTTTTACTATCAGGGCCTATATCATCCTACGCGATTTATGGGCAATTGCTGATAGTTTCGAAAGCTGATAAAATCAGAAACCAGGATCATATTTCACCAATCGAACACTTCGAATAAGATGCAAGCGGTACAATAAACGAACTTATTTTCGCATATAATTAGAGTTTCCAGACTACCAGTCTTTCAGCACCTTAAACGAAATAGGGTGAATACATTTGATAATTTACAGTGAGTCATTTCTTTGGAAGACTGTGAGATTCGCGAGGTGGACGAAGTCACTTGGCCCCGTGGGAGAGACTGCACAGGGAAATTGGCGGCTTGTAAAGTTAATTGTGGAGACTGATTGTGATGCTGATGCTGGTGCTGATGGTCGAGGAAAATGTTTAGCCCACCGGCTTCAGACGTGGGCATAAAGCCAGAGAGTGGAGCATCTAGGACAAATGAAGGGGGTTCATTGGGTGGCTGACTTGAGCCTGGTGTGTTCAATCTTGATTGGTTGGCGAGACCGCTGGGAGAGGGCTGGAGAATAGCCCCAGGAGGCTGAAGTATGGATGTTGTAGGCGGAGTGATTCTGGAAAACGACTGACCAGCGTTGCTCGAAGAACCACCACCCGCAGTACTGGCAACCGTCAGTCGGGAGTAATATACAGAAGGGTCCTGGCTCTGTGGGCTAAGTGCGTGTAGCAGAATTCCGTTTCCCTGACTCGTCGTCACGCCACCGGTCCCCGGCGTCGGACCGGAGAGTGTGGCGCCCGAGGAACCGGAAGTGGAGCCAGAAGTGGAGCCGGAGCCGAGAGCAGACCTGGCCTCGAGGCAATGCGAAGAGGAACAAGATACAGCTGACGGAGAAACATGCGCCAGCCAGGCCTCGTAGGCGGCCTCGAGGCTGTTGCCACCGCCGACACCGCGCCCGACGCCCAAGCCACAACTGCCGATCTGGCTGGCGGAGGCATCAAAAGCACCACCAGCTGACGTCGTCGTCAGGTCGCCTGGCCCGCCGCCTCCAGACTGAGAAAGCAGATGCTGCAAGGCCTGTGGTAGGCAAAGATAACAAGATCGCAGATGATGTGATCTTAGGCTTGGTTACAGTCCTCTTCATTTGTATCATGTTGGCATGACAACCTTTTAGCAACTTGCTCGCAGCGATAGAGAGACCTTGTAGAACACACATAGCTTCGTTTTCCTTGCGATTGTAGTCGTAATAATTTCCAGTATCTGACCGGTACCTTGGCGCCATTTTTAGCACAGAAGCGCAACCTATCAACGCGACAAAGTCTGGGAAAATTCAACTACCAGTTCTTCCTCACCTTACACAAACTTATATGAATAGATCTCATTTATCATTTGTTGTAAACGCCACGTATAAACGAAAATAATTGATATGGTATATCGCTACAGCAAATGCAACCTTGCAACATAAAGTGTGATATGGGAGAGGCCTGGCTTTCCTTGAAATTCACATCTTCCCTGCGCTCTTATGGTTCTAGTCCAGCTGGGAGTACTAATGGGACCAGTTCAAGCGAGGTCAAAATTGCAGTCCACTCCAGCCTGGATGAGGCTACCTTGTAGAGGGGAAGGCTATGTAAAGTCCAATGGAAATGTGAGGCCTACCCATACGATTATGGGAAAATGTAACTGTCGATCCTTCATCAACTTAAACGAAATAGGATGAATGTATGCCAAGTAAGGGGAATGAGAGACTCGTCGATTGGCCACAAATGACGATGATATGGCTGCTTGAGATCTATCTGCGCCTATTTATCGTTGATCAAAAGACAGGCAACTATAGCTGCCTCAAGACATGGGCTTTCAAAGAGAACCGTCTTGTCCATCCTCTATGAAGAAGCACAGACCGACAGGAAGCAGTTGGGCCTGAAGTTCTGACTATGCTTAGTCATGCTATGATCTAGTTAAACACATTCTTACTAAATCGGTTAGCTACGTTAAAGACCGTTGAGTTACCACTTCTGGTGCGACTGACATCATTTAGGTCTCAACACTTGGTGGGAACATGAGGCTGTCTGAGCATACAACTCGTTTGCTGCGTTCTTATCTACCATGGAGAAGCGGTGGCCCCCATGACAGTCATAAATCCGTTAAACTGAAATGTACCGCCAACTATATCAATTTCAACTTCATACTTGAGTCTCAACTAATATCGAAGGTCTTCAAAAGTAGAAGGATGCGTTTTTGCATCAAGTCGAATCCAACAGTGAAATGCTACGACCCCTTCATCGACTGGTACTATGAGACTTGTTGTCAGAGGAGGCAAAATAACGTTTTGCAGAGGCTGTATAAGATTCAGATATGCATGTTCAAGTGATTGTAATCTAAATCCCGTTTGTATTTGTAGCAGAGATAAAGGGGGATACGCGGAAAAGGATGGCAGGAAAGAAGCGGCCCAAACGACGTGCAGGAATTACAAATACGAACTGAAAAGACGACATTTTGGGATGCTATTAAAGCGCACAACGTCGAGCTATGGGTTAATTTGAAGTAGGCAGGCTCTTTGGCATAGTTACTTTGTTGACTTAGAACAATAGAAGTCCTGTAGATGCGGACTCAACAACAAGGTCGTTTAGAACACAAAACAACGGGCGTACAACCGACCTTTCCATATTGAAGATGGCATGCGAGGGATAGCGAAAGAGGGGGTGTATGCATAAAAAGTAGATGTTAGGGGAGACTTGCTGTGTGGCAAGGAAAGACCGACGTCCAGTTGAGGATAAGACGCTCTGATGAGACATCGGGATTTCTCTACAGGCCCCTCTTGCATGGAGCGAAGATGTCTCCTGGCGCCTGGTATCTACAGCCATATCGTCCTAGAGACGAGGACGTCTGCACCCTTACTAAACCTCATTTGTATGCTGGCAGGTTTAGAAGACCTAATTAATTCTTGACTAGTTTCACCATAGGTGTGAATTGAGAGCGAGCATAGGTTTAGTCCAGTTTAGATGTAAAAACTTTGGTTTTTGTAAAATTTCTGTATTAGTCCTTGAGCTATCCTAAGCTATATAGGGTTACTAAGATCCGTATTCAAATTGCTTGTCTCCTTACAGTCAGTTCGCGAACCAATAAATGCTGGCAAATAACATTTCATAACTAAGTAGGTTTTCGAGACTACCAATAAATCACATGTATATTAAATGTATTCACCTTGAGGACTTGTAGTTGATTTTCCCACAACGATATGATAATGATAGGAGCTGACGTTTCCAATTAATTTCACATATCCCAGCTTTCCCAAAAGTTGTTCTCATCCCGGCTGGAGTGGACTGCAATTTCCACCTTGCATAGGTCTTATCAACACCCCAAGCGAAAGTCGAACCATAATAGCGGCGCGTGTAAACTCGACGCATCAAGCACTACGCCACATTGCCACGAGTGCCCTTGGCTCACAGGGTGGGTGTGAATTTCAAAGATTGTCAGACATTTTCCATGTCACATTCAGTATTAGGATTGTGGATGAAGCAAACTTTACATTTGCTATAGCAAACGACGACAGTACTTTTTTCGTAAGTGAGTAGGTTTTCGAGACTATCAGTAAACCAGATATATGAGTTGTATTGAAGTTCACATCTGCCCTGTTGCCCAAAAGCACTCGTGGCAATGTGTCGTAGTGGTTACCGTGTCGAGCTTACACGTTGCATTGTCTTGGTTCGACTGCCGCTTGGGTTATTCATTAGACCTATGCGAGGTTGAAATTGCAAGGCTATGTGAAATTCAATGGAAATGTCAGCTTTACTCATACCGTTGTGGGAAAAATTAATTACCAGTCCTTCATCACCTTAAACTAAATGGGGTGAATACAGGTCATATACATAAAATTGCATTCAACGAGTCGAATTGCAACAAAGGGAAATTGCCCAAATATCATCCAGCCATCAGCAAGTAAGCTCCAAACATGACAATAACTGCCTCCCAAGACTTGTCAAGGAAAGAGCACAGACTTTAATTAGGGCTTTGGTTAAATAAACCTAGGTCGAACCCTTAGAATCCAGCCGGAATGTATAGAATGCATGCATAATGGGAAGATGCAATGGAAGGACTTGGTCGGCAATACCTCCGGAGAAGTGAGTGCAATTTCCTCCAGTGATTTTGAGGTCCGGCAATATGAAACGTGCCTGCAACCAGCATCGTGGACGAAGAGATAATAACACAGGCACTAGATTAAGGACCAATGCTTAGAATGCATCTTCGGGAATCTTGTTTCGCAAGGCGTCGGAAGTGGCAGTCTTGTTCAGATTGTCGGTGAATGGAAAATTTGTTCGCCTCGTCGACACTGAAGCCCAGCTGTATTACGAAGTATATACGAAAAGCACACAAGATTCGATGAAACTTTTGCAAATAGCACTGCTGTGGCGTAATAGCTATATTCAGCATACTTTGTTTGGTAGGATGAAGAAATTATGAGTAGGAAGACCAAGATAGTGTGGCCTTTTGTGTGGTCGCAGTTTCCTTTCGTTGTAGAGAAGTTGTTTGACCTTATCTCGGCAACTTGGTCATATTGGCAGGAAGACTTAGGGGAACGAACCTAGTCCAGAGTCCATTGTATGCATGGCGTGACTCACTGA